GTCATTTTGTATTGCGTGCGGAATTCCTACCACATTCGGGCCCAAATGTGGTAGGAATTTCCGCGCGCAATACAAAAGTATACAAAATTTGCAAACTTTGCAAGGCTATATTTTCTGCATTTTACAACATTTCGCAACCAAACTTTGCAATTTTACTATTTTAGTATGCTCTTTGTAGCTGTGGTGATTTATTTGCATCTCCTTGCCTAGTTCTAAAATTAGTCTATAATGGGAATTGTCTATTAAACACCCAACACATTTTTCATCGATTAACTCAAAATACGATTATAGCTTTTAAATCGCGTGCGCAAGCCATTTTTAGTTTGTCGAAAAAGACACACACCCCTGGTTTACAAAATTTGTGTTCGCGAATTTTTTTTCCTTATTCTACATTATAAGTACCCAAAGAAGCCATATATATCAAACACTGGATACTAATAGCTGTTTTAAGAAATTGAGAGCAATTTCAAATCTGTTCAGTTTTTTTTATACACCTTGTATATATATATATATATATATATATATATATATATATATATATATATATATATATATATATATATATATATATATATATAGCCGAATGTCAATAAATATATTGAGTGTCGAATCATACGAATAGAGTGCTCGATACGAAAGTAGCCCGCGTGCAAGCCCAAGGGAGCAGGCTCAAGGAAACTTGATAGTGGGCCTGCAAGCAAGGCCCGGTATTTTGTACTTTCCGCGTTCGCCCACGAACGCGGCATTCTGATTGGCTGTTTGCTGTTGGATTCTATACTTAGGTCAGTGATTCATCACAAAGGCTCTCGATAAGCTCAAAATTCGAAAATTGATCACTTTTTTCGATTATAAATGGAACAAGAACAGACTGTTTATTATTTACTAGAAGGAAGAGATGTTTTTGCCGTTATGCCAATGGGGATTGCTTGTCGTGAGTTGTTGGAATAGCAACATTACGACTGGGGTAAACTATAGTAACCTTTACTTGAGTTTCATTAATTTCAAACAGACTTGATACGTTATATGTTCCTCAAGAAAATTATCATTTGGTTGATGTTGACTCTGTTCTTGCACTGAAGAAAACGCGGTGAAGATTTAGAGGCAGTTGCATGTAAGCCTATTCGAAACACTTTGCGATTTACAAGGCTTCGCTGAGAGAGCGAAACAGAAGACGGTATTAAATTGCCGTTTGAAACGATCTGGACTCTGAACGCTCTCTTCTTTTGTAGAGTTCTTTACCAAATGAAATAACTGAAATAAATTTCGTACTTTCCGCCGCCAACAAGAATTGCACACACGATCTGATAAGTGAGACAATTTATTTATAACAACGGCGACAGCGAAGCACACATTTAAATGCTACTGTGGTCGCATGACTTCCCTCACGATTTGAAGTTTGAGACTGGTTTTCTGTTGAAATTCGTCCTAATTTGCCTGTTTCGATTTTAGTTGAAAATGAGCACTTGCAAATTTGGCAATTACTGACTGCGTTGCTTGCTTTTTTGGAGTTAAAACGCTGCCATTGATTTACACATTGTTTATGTTCTGAATATTGTTTATATTGCCGCAACATTTTAATGCGAGTTTGTTTGTTAATATTTGAGTGCTGTCATTGGTTCTTTTTTGACAATTGACGCGCGAATGGGGCGTGTTATGAAAAGGGGCGTCTTACAAAATACCGGGCCTTGCTTGCAGGCCCACTATCAGTTCCCTTGGGCCTGCACGCGGGCTACTCAGTGAACGATTCGCTGTGTCAACGAACTACAATTGTCTCGAACATTTTTATGTATATTATTAACACCAACATACTAATACGCAATACTATGTAAAGTCATGCTAATAAAGTCACTTGTTACTGTTACTACTTCCTACAGAAATAAAATTGGGAATCGAAATTAAGGAGGGAGGGAAACGATACGTATAGCAAATTTTGGAACCAGAGCAGTTGTACGATATAGGCCAAGGCAAAGGAGGTAAAACAAGGGCGAAAGGGGGTAAAACAAGGTTGCCTGCAAATGAGGCTACGTTCCGCTATCACAGTTCTTTCGTAAATTATTTTGGGGGCATACCCTACACCTAGCGTCTGTCCCTGCAGTTTCTTTCCTTCTTTTTTTCTTTCTTCCCTTTCCTTCTTTTCTCTCTTTCCCCCTTTTCTTCCTTCCCTTTTTTCTTTCTGCCAGCATAAAAAATTTTCTGGGACACCTGCTCACATTCTTCTCGCATGAACTCCTTGTTTATTTAAAAAAATTAAACTTATACTTATTTACACTTATACATACTATTTGATGTCATATATAGACAGCGTATTTCTTTTCATTAGTTTACTTTATCTTTACTTTACTATAACAGGACGTATACCACCCTCTGGCTCACCGGTTTAACTACGTATTATTTAAATCAACGTAATATTCGAGAGGAGCCCAAAAGCATTAATAATTTCTACTTGAGCTTCTAGAACGTCAGTTTTGTGTAATGTATAGACTTTTATGTATGTATGGTTTCCTGTGATAAATCATTAAATTCAATTCTGTAATCAATTGAAATTCAAATACCTCAAAAATAGCACTTGATGCTCTTTGATAAACTCGCGCATGTTTTAACCAAATTGCGCTCGAAACCATCCTATTACAGGAAATGGCCTTTTAACATTTAGCTGGTTTTAATCATTATTGCTTTATGGTATTGGTTTTCAAATTATAATTTTAGCATTTTAATTTAAATTACTAAATATATTATATTGAGAGTCTTAAAGGGGTAAATGGGAACTGGATTTGCGCATTTTTGGAGTGGGAAAATGGGTTTGGGTTGCTGAGAATGACAGACACTAAATTGATGATTCGGCTCTTTATTACGTTTTCGTAGCGCTTTGCATTGTGGTTATAGTGGTATCGCTGATAATATGGATAAAGATAGCGGCCTCGAATGGAAATATTGAATGTTTTCCCAAGTATTTTGCTGTTGGCTATTGCGCACCTGCACGGCTCAGGACAAAAAATAAGCCATCTTGAATATCAGTGATACTACTATAACCACAATGCAAAGCGCTACGAAGCGTAATAAGGCGAATCTAGTATTGGGAATGGGCAAACCCAAATACCATTATAAAGACAGTTGTACTTGGACATTTCAGAGTAAATTTGTGATATAGAATTTGTCTAGAAAAGTCCAGGAAAACTGAATTAACTGACTTATATAGTTATATGGCTCAATGAGGTCATTTTCCTGCTATTGCAAGGCCCGTTTTATACGTCGAATTTCGGTCGCGTCGAATGCAATTCAAACAATAAATAATGAAGTTCAATGAGGTTTATCATCTCATTATCAATTGTCTTATTTGCATTCGATGCGACCAAAATTCGACGTATAAAACGGGCCTAAGTTAGACATAGGCCTAAAACGGGCCTAAGTTAGTCATAAGATAGCCTTATCTCGGCAAAAACTAGTTCTAAATAGGGTAATTGAACACAAAATTGTATTTATCACACATCATTAGATATTCATAGCAGTTCGGCCAATGACCTGGTGTAATTTACATCACGTGTATCTATCTGGATACTCCGTCTGGACTTTAATTACTTTAAGTGGAAATTAAAGACTTTGAACAATAGGGAGGTTGAGGGGTAAACAAAAGATTATGCAAGCATATTTAATTGCTATGTTTCGAATTATTTCTAAATACAGTAAGCTGTATTTAGAAATAACTTCTATATACAATAAGTGATAAGCCAGAAGTTTAACGTTCTTGCCGTCATTGAACACAAATCTGTCTCCAAATTTTGCACATTTTGCAGATATCAACAGCAGTCCTTCGTTACGCATTCGCTTGATTGAACAACTTAATTCCCTATTGTTACTTCCTCAATCTATGAACATCTAATGGTGTGTGATAAAAACCATTTCAAATCCTCGTTGGTGTTTTAGACTTGGTTTCCAAATTCCAAAGTGGCACTTGGATTTAGAAACCACGTCTAATATGAAGCACCAACTCGGATTTCAAATATTACTCAAAAGTCATAAAATATACAGTGTCTCTAAAAAAAGTGAACCCTTTCAAATTAGCTATACGTATTGTAGTAATTTGAAAAGCTCTAATTGCTTTGAATTAAAGTTGGGTAAGAACACAATTAGGTCTTTAACTCATGGGACAAACCTCAAAGAAATAAAAATTAGAAAATTCCAGCGTTTTTAAGAGTTTTGTCCCATGAGTACAAGACCTTGTGTTCTTAATTTAAGGCCTGATTCCACGACTGCGAAATTTTTCGCACGAAATCGTGTGTGCGAAATGCCGAAATATGATGGATGGATGGCTGCACATGAGTGATTCTATTGAATTTGCACTCTTCTTTCGCTTTCGCAGTGAGTAGAACGGAATTCTACTCACTGGCGAAGCGAAATTTTTTTCTCGCGAAGCCTAATTTATCTTTACTGCGCATGCACGATTTCATTTCGTGCGAAATATTTCGCTTTTCGCCGAGAAAAAGCGCCCGTGGAATCAGGCCTTTATACAACCATTAATTCAAAGCAATTAGAGCTGTCGAATTACTACAATATGTTATAGCTAATTGAACTTGAAAGGTTCACTTTTTTTTAGACACACTGTACAGGGTGAGTGGATTTGAAAAACAAAGGTGTCAGTTTTTTGGACTCGCCCTGTAGATGAACCACTTGATTTGGGATTTTGTTTCAATTTCACAATGGGAATGGGATTTCATCTAAAAAAGGGCTGGGAAATGGGATTTAAAGAAAAATTTCAGTTGCGTAGCCAGAACGATAATTGGGGGGGGGGGCATATTCATATATTCGCGTTCTGCTTTATTAATTTCTTTTCAAATCAATTGTTTTTATGATATGTGAACACGAATATATGAATATGGGCCCTCCCAATTATCGTTCTGGTTACGCCTCTGAAAAATTTGGGCTGAGTAAATGGGATCTAGACCTCCCCCGAATTCCTTCAGGACGTTATATATACAGGGTGTATCAGAAAAAAGTAGGCAATTTTGAAACGGCTCTCAATATCACAAATCCGTTCATTTAATGAATTTGTGATAAACATAGATTGTTTGGGTATTCATGCATTCATCTAATTTGCATAGTGTTATTGTAAAAAAGTAAAATAACAATATGCAAATTAGGTAAATGCACGAACTGAGTAGTTTCAAGTTTCAGCAGCTTTTTAAATGACTTAATATTGAATTCTTTCTGTCTTCTGTTTTGTCTATGATGCCATTTGTCTTTGCCTGTCTATAGCAAACATTGACAACTTCTATTTATTACTTTTACTTTTACCTTATTCCCACTCGTGTTTTGTTTTGATTATTTTTTGTAGTAATTGTCTTAACTTCCTGTTTATTTTTATACTTTTAATTATATTATATTCTGTAATGCGATTTACATATTTTTTTACACTTTGTTATTATTAAATCCATCTAATTGATTTATTTCTTGTCACGTGATGCTTTCATACTCTTAGTATAAAAGCCCGTGCATTTTCCCCGATCCCTGCTACTAACTCTTGACGAAGGGCCTTCGCTCGAAACGTCGAGTTTCTGCTTATTTTTTAAGGTAGTAATATAACCACTCAGCACAGCATTAATATTGAGCACTAAATTTTCTGATATTTGGACCATTAATAAAATACACAACAAATTGCTCACCCATGAACTCAAAATGCTTTTAACTTTTAAATTTCGCGCGCAAGCTATTTTAATGCTGCTAAAAAGACAACGCGCTGCTCTGGAAAATCTATCTTTACGAAATTTTTTTGTCCAAACGATCTATATGTATCAAAGGTATCAAGAAGTATGAAAATGAGCCGTTTCATGTCATTGCTACGTACTGTTCAGAAACGTTGCTGTAAACTGAAGAGAAGAGAGACATTGGAGTCACCTTATTCAGCAAAATTCCTTGGAACTCTCACATAAATAAAATTCTATCGCCGAACGTAATCACATTACTTTTTGAGCTGCAGAGAACATGTATGCCCATCGTTAGCAGACATTAAAATAACGCGTACACTCTACGTTTCACTGGTTAAGTCGTAGCTTGTCAGGCAACACAAATTTCAAAATAGGCAGGCGAAAGATAGGATAATTGAAAGAGTTCAAGCCTCAAGGGAAAATTAAGGCCCTTTTCCACTAGGCGGAATTTTCCGCGCGGAGCGGAATTTTTCTTTGTCTTGTGATTTCTCGGGTGGAACTGATTAGAAAAGACATAGAAAAATTCCGTTTCGCGCGCAAAATTCCGCCTGGTGGAAAACGGCCTGTGTCTATTAAATTTGAGGACCAGGATTTTCAAAATTACCTTAATCTGAAGATAAACAATTATGCTTCATTCTTTGAAGACGACCGCAAGTCAGGTCTTCTTTATGTAGTTCAAACGCCGTTGTAATCCTTTATGCGTGAATATCGATCCTTGCCACAGGACGGAGTTGGATTCATTTATTCCTCAGTCTATATGTCTACCTGTCTGTCATTGTTGACCCGTCCATCCAACGAACCATACGGAATTTTGCTTTCTGTATATTTTAATTGCCCTTCTTTATCGCTTTTCGATTGCCCAGTTCATTTCTTCGTTACTTCCCATTCATTCATCCATTTAATAAGTGGATGACAGATGTACTAATATAATGAACACTTGTGTACTTTCATAATTCTACTTTACTGGCAGGTGCCTTGCATGTGTCCTCAAGAGTCCTTAACAGGTACCTTGCTTTTTTGGATTTTCCATATATATTTCTTTTTTATTAGGTTGAATATTTGATTTGCCATAGTCTTGTAGATCTATTTCGTACACATAAATATTCGCACAAATTTATTTGGTCCAAACATATTTGTTAAAATAAAAAGAAAAAAGAAAACTAGAAATAAAATGCCGGAGCAGGCGAAATATACACATGCAATGGTTTGGAGAACATTAGGCACCAAATACAGTTACTATAGCTGACTTTGTAAACTAATAACACAAAATCCTAAAATAAAAGCTTTTATATTACACGGCCGCCATCTTGTTAACCCTATCCCTAATTTTCCATCATCACTTATGCTATAATCACTTATACAGTAATCTCCCCCCTGTTCATAAAGCTTCTTTGTCTCTCTTTTCTTTAAATGTTTTCTCGTCTTTAACAAAAATGTTTAATTTAAATAATTATCCTATTAAAGCTCCAATAAATTAACCTGAAGGATCAAAGATCTTAGGTGATCTAACTACTCTTCCAAATCTTGTTCTATACAATGTACCCAGGCTAGATCCTTCATTAGAATCATCACCTGAAGAATTGAATTCCTTACTAGAAGGAGTTGGTTCTTTACCAAGTACTTGTGACTGCCCTTGCACCTCAGGGGCTGTAGACTGACTGTCCGACAATTGAAGATTACCTGGATCTTCTGGAATCTGCATCTTGAGCTTGATATCATCATTCATTTTCACCTGATGTGAAGGAAGGGAAGCTTGGTGTATTTGTGCTCGATTTCTTCGCACAGTACCATTTGAAGTATTTATTACATATGACCTTAACGTGGGCTTCCTCACGACTTGACCATACTGCCATGGACTTGATCTATTACGAGGGCATGGTTTGGTGTAGACATAGCTTTCAATTGGCACATTTAGATGTTCCTTCCCAGCCTTCCTGTCATAAAACTTCTTCGCCTTCTCTCTTTTGAGACTGATTTCTGACTGTACCAACTTTGACACAACCTTATTCAGGCCCAAGCATCTCTGGAAACCCTGGAATGTTAAGTCTAGTCCTGCGACCCATACTCCTCTGTGCTGGACTTAACGAATGTCCCTCCTGTGGCGTGTTTCTATAAGTAAGGAGAGCCAATTGGATATCAGCACATTTTTTCATAAACGTTTTCACTATCTTTACTGCCGATTCCGCCTTTCCGTTACCCCTTGGCCAATATGGTGACGATGTTATATCCATAAAGGTCACAAAAAGGCAGCAAATTCTGTACTAACAAATTGCGGCCCATTGTCTGAAAGCAACACCTCCGGGATACCATGACGAGCAAAATGCGACTTCGAGTGTTTAATAACGGTTGATGATAATGTCGGTTATCCAACTCTCCAAGTTCAATAAAGTCAGAATAATGATCAACTGTAACGACATAACTACTTGATTCAAACTGAAATATATCCTGACTTACAAATTACTACGGATATTGTGGGATAGGTTGTGACTTCATGGGCTTTCTTGTATTCTCTATTCCAAATTGAGCACATATATATGCATTGTCCACAATTTTGACACATATCTTTAATTTCAGGTTGCATTCCAGGCCAGTAAACAATATCCTTCGCCATTCGTATGTTACTCTCTGCGCCTGCATGCGATGCGTGAATCTTTATTAACATCTGCCTGCGCATGGACTTTGGGATAACAGTTTGACTACCACGATAAATTACACCATTGTGAACAGACATTTCATTACGAAAACACCAGTATGACTTAACACAGCTTGGAAGGTGAGACTTTATATCGGGGCACCCTGATAAAATCACCTTGTATATTTAGGTAATCGGGTGTGCGAGTTGTGATAAGGTGGACTTCAATAATTTGGATTCTTGCACTTCACTTGGTGGAATTAATATTAGAATGTTAGGGTTTGTAATCCAAATGAGAATATATGCATTTGTATATTCTCACTTGGATTACAAACTATTCTCATTTGGATTACAAAATATATACACAAAATATATACATTTGTATATTCTCACTTGTATTACAAAATATTCTCACTTGGATTGTAAAATATATACATGTATATATAAACACTTGGATTACAAACCCTAACATTCTAATCTTAATTCCACCAAGTGAAGTGCAAGAATCCAAATTATTGAAGTCCACCTTATCACAACTCGCACACCCGATTACCTAAATATACAAGGTGATTTTATCAGGGTGCCCCGATATAAAGTCTCACCTTCCAAGCTGTGTTAAGTCATACTGGTGTTTTCGTATGCCCCGCCGGGGCTAAGGTTCGAGTGGAAATGCCCAACCTCCGGGATGTGTTTTACAGGAAAATGGCTGGGCGAGGGAGATGGGCACACTTCGATTTGGCTGATGCATTAAAAGTCATGGAAAAAGAAGAAACTTTTCATATTGCTACTATAAAATGGCTTATTGTGCTTATTCCTGTGCTTATTCCAGACTGCTTGTCAAATATTTACTTGCTAGAGCCTAGAAGTAGAAATTTACTCTGACCACTGGATGAAGAAGACATTAAATAAGTACTGGTCAATAAACAGAAATGCATTTTATTTCATACTATTACAATTTTATTTTTATACTATAAAAATAAAATATAAACATGCAGCAGAGAGTATGCAAATTCGAGGCAAAATTATTGTTGAATCGGTTTATTTATAGGATTTTATAACAAATAACAACTATAAAAGTTTATACCTTGTCTTCACATCGCTTTATTCTGTTAGCCAATTAATGCTTTTAAATTTACATATTTTAGAATCAGTTCCTTTCCTGGTAACTGCATTTCTAAATGAAATCATCGTGAGTAGTGAGTGCTGAGCAGGCCGTTTTCCTATAAACAAATTTTAGGAATTGATAACAACTTTGGAAAATATATCGTTGCACATTCGGCCACAGTCGGAAAAATGTTCATAGTATGTTGTACCGTCGTTTGCAGCTAACGATGAACAGTCGCTCATAAAAACATTCGCGTGATTAGAATCTTCAATGTTTGTCAAGAACAACAACACTTAATTGTTGTTTCCCATGTGTACAATAATAAGTAACAAAACTTTGTGTGGTCTGAACGTGTAGGGCTAGAGACCTACTGGAAACCTTTACAGGCTTTTTAATGAGAATAGAAAATGTTTTATCTGCAACTGTTCACCCTTAGTTGCAACCGACGGTATTTGACAGCATAAAATTGCCTGTGGCTGTGGTAACTGATATAAATAAAATACAGTCTGGTTATACTCACTTGAGCGTGTCATGACAAACTCTTTATTGGAAAATTGTGAAGAAATAGTCGAATATAGAGGGTCGAATATCATACTTCAACTTGTATAGCTACAGTAACATTGGTACATAGCGTTGTGAAGACAAGCCTTTGCTTACCTTTCGCTTCAGCAGTCTTTTCCATGCTTCTCTACGGGCGACCTTCTCTTTCCTCAGCAGTCTCCTCGAGCAAACGTTGTCGTCTTCGCTCCCTTCTTTTCGCTAGACGCTCGGCTCTCTTGTCGTTTCCTTGCCGCTCTTCATTTGGCTCCATATCTTTTCAATTGGTATTTGATACCGTAATTGTTTGATAAAAGTTTTAATAAAACTAATATTGCTTTTAAAGCTGCCAAATGTTTTTGCAAATGTACAAAAAACTGTAGCGCAAAAAGCAAAATATTTTCATGAAGTATCTGCCAGTTAAAGTCGTCATTCGTCATACAACAACAAATTTTAAATTTGACCAATCGGTGTTCGCTATTCATGACAGTCCGCCATATTTTTGAGATCAGTGTGGATGACCACCCACCGAAACACGCACAGTGACCCACGCCCGCGATATTTGATGAACTTTAAACTTCCCTAATGCTTTCGTTTCCCCGGGTGTAAATAGCCGGGGGGAATTAGTACCCTCGCACGGCGCTTCGCGCCGCCGGCTCGGGGATTACAATTACAATTACAATTACAATTTATACATGCAATAACAATGAGTTGTTCTGCCTACGCAAACTCTAGTGAAACGAGTAAACATGTAACTATGATCTGTTCTATCTTTTGTAATAAAAATTTATATTGTCCTGGTAAATGTTGCCCATTGTTGTCAGAATTCAATGTGGTTGCTGTATGCCAGTTCTCCAGTGTTGCTCTCTGTCTATAAGTTGCCTTGTCTAGGATTTTGCATTCATCAAAGTTGATTTTTTGGTTGATTTCGTCATTGACGAAATTATGATTTCATTTGTCGTTGCATGCATCACTATTTACTGCCATCCCAGTCGATAGAGCATGCGAACACATTCGTAATAAACTTAGCAAAGATGACACACTCCTTATAGGACAACGTTCTAAATTATCCATTGATGATATCATTAAACTCTAACGCTTCACTCTGTCAAACAGCAACTTTAACTATAATAACAAGACGTAAAAACAGATTCACGGCTGTGCTATGGACAGTCCCGTTAGCCCTGTTGTGGCAAACCTTTGTATGGAGGATGTTATATTTTATTTATTTTATTTTATTTTACAATCTTTGTCACATGACCGGTTTAACCCACAGAGCTAGTTGCTCCTTTACGAGTAACCTGCTAATGCAATACTGAAATATAGGTTAACACAGTGGATATATCGCTTCAAAATCCCTAGTCACTGAGACGTTTGATTTAATGTGGTTCTGAGCCATTCTAATCATGTGGATCGAAAAAAGGAATTTAATTTAAATTTCACATGCTCACTAGCAAAGTGATATTTCCACTGGGTTAATAGCAACTAATGACATCACAGTTTGACAGAAAGACTGGACAAGCGACGACACAAATGACACTTTACACACATTGTTTTAAACGTTTGTGGAACATCATTGTCGTAGACCTCTTCAACACGTTTTTGGTAATATTTAAATAGGCCGCATTTTAAATTGACTGATTGAGAGATTTGACTGCCGTAAGTGTGATGGTAAAAAGTTAAAAGTCCTGGGTGATATGCAGTAATAACTATTCTGAAATATTAAAGTGTTTACTTTAGAAACTTGTAATATAGTTTTTGTTGTTCCATCATTTTCTCTCGTCAACCGATCTGTTGTCTTTACATGGATATTATGGTAATTAGATAGAACTAACGCTTTGTACAGGTAGACCATATCCAGGAATTCATGCCAGTATGTTAATGGTAGTAAACCACTTTAGACAAGTCTATCTTTGTATGATACTCCTGACAAAAATGGCAGTGATAAAAGGTATCTGGTGGCGCGACGTCGGACGTTTTCTACTTGAAGAATAAGTGATACCGACTGACCAAATTTGTGGGCAATATGCCATCTGGTTTCGCACCATTGTCTTGTAAAGCGCAAGGCGGGTTTTATCGTTGCCAATGTCCATTGATGATCTTTTAATGAAGCCGAGCATTTTGCTTGCTTTGACACATACCATGGACACGTGCTGGTTCTATTTCAAATCGGATGTAATGATCACTCCAAGATCTTTCTGGGCATTGGTTCTTTTGATGGGAGTGTCGTACTTAAGGTGGTAGCTCGACGGCACTAGCTTCAGATTTCTGGTCACCTAAAGAACTTCACATTTCGATTGATTCAGATCCATCCGCCACGATTCACACTAGTTGTTAATACCATCAAGGTCTTTTTGAAGATATTGTTCATCCTTATGTGATCTAACTGGACGATAGGACTTAGTATCATCAGCATACAAAGCAATAGACGATGTAGATGTTTCCTGCGGAA